CAATTAGTGGAGCATCAGACCCTTGCCCACTCGTAGGGGTGTCACTACTCAGCAATCACCCATGATTGGGGCGCTTGACTGTTCCCACTATTCACACATTGGCTGATCTTTCAATATTTCGAAATTTATAAAATCAGTAAATGTACTAAATGACCATTTTCAGGTAATTAGTTGAGCATCAGAACCCTGCCCACTCGCAGGGCTGTCACTACTCAGCAATCACCCATGATTGGGGCACTTGACTGTTCCCACTATTCACACATTCGCTGATATTTCAATATTTCGAAATTAATAAAATGAGTAAATGTACTGAATGACCATTTTCAGTTACTTAGTGCAGCATCAGAACCCAGCCCACTCACAGGGCTGTCACTACTCAGCAATCACCCATGATTGAGACACTTGACTGTTGCTCTTTTTCACGGATTGGCTGCCTCCGTGTCGTGGATTTCAATCCCCATGGTCGCCACCCTCTCCATCATTCGCTGTCTCTTTCCCTCTCTGTCACGTTCCTCTTCACACTCTCACTGGTTGGCATGCCTTCACGGTTTCCTCTCTCTCTCCGCCCTCTCTTCGCACTTCCCTTACCGCTCTTGAAAATTGAAAGTCGCCAATTGAGTGAAACTTCAGCATGCTCCCCTTGACCAGCATTGAACCGCAGCGCCTCACGAACCGGTACGACCCATCACCATCTCCGCTGTAGTCTCCTGGTTCGTTGTTCTGAGATACTCGCTCGTTGCGTGCTCTGCGGTCGCTTGCCCACTGCGCACCGTTCCCTCTGTTYGTCATACTCTTCAACCGGCCCGTTCCAATCCCGAGTCGAAGGGCTTGTGTGGACTGTGTGCGCCAGGCACACAGTCCAGTTCGCGCTGCTCCTCCATGCTTGCTTCTCTTCCCTTTCAACTGAGCTTTCCCCCTCTGATCATTGCTTTGCCGCGGTGCTCTCCAGGCACCCCTTTCTTCTCTGGTACAAAACTTGTCTCCTGGTGTACACCGGGCACATTCTCTCCCCCGCRGTGCAGAACCTGTCTCTCCCCCGCGGTGTACGTYTTGGACAACTTCCACTCGCCGGGTACACCTTGCACAACTCCYCCTTYTCTTCTGTCCCTCTTCCCTATATGGTTCCCTGATCCAGCCCAGCGTGGACTTCGGCCCAGTCCCAACCCGTAGGCCTTCGTAGACTAGAGGTACAAAACAGGTTTAAGGTCCCAGGCCCAGCGCCAGTGCAGCGGGACCCATATAGGACCCCAACGGCCTGGATTTACTAGTGGACCAGTTCAAGTGGCCCAACTTTTACTAGTGGCCCAGCACTCTTTCTTTCACTGAAAATAATACAGTGGCGTGCACCATACTGATGCCAACCCAGGGAATCCATACCATCACCGAATCTGAAAAATAATACAGTGGCGTGCACCATACCGCTGCCGAACCAGGGAGTCCATACCATCACCGAACCTGAAAAATAAT